CGGCTCCGGGCTCGGCGCGTCCCGGTGGGCTCGCCGGGGAGGCTGAATGCCTTCTGCTTCCTCATTGGGAGGAGCCATGGTGACCCTGGGCCCCCGCGCCGGTGTCCGGGATGGTTGGTCCTCCTCGTCAGCCGGCTACCTCGTTCGTGACCCCACCTCTTTTCCCTTTATTTTCTTCGGTTGAGCAGCCCTCCTTTGCCTTTACACCTCCCAGAGTTGTTTCTGGTTAGGCCAGTGCTGCTGACTTTTGGGACGTTACAGATGAAGTCTGAATGAATGTTAGGTAGGATGGGGCGGCGGGGGGGGCAGGTGTTAGTGCTTAATACACGTTATTGTGTTACTCGTGTTCCTCACTCATCTTTGATTACTTTGAACTAATCTAAGTTTAAGGATTTTTTTAGGACCCTAAAGTTCTATATTTTTATTAGTTTCATGGTTACCTAGAGGAACTAATCCAGTTTGACAAATCTAGCCAGAAGGTACTGATATTTACAGTTTTTCAGAGAGACACTGAAGCTTGGAACTGTTGAGAAACTTCCCGGGGTCGCATAACTGGCAAGAATTGGTGGACAGCTGGCCCCTTTGACACCAGCGTTCTTAAACCCTTTAGCTGTTTATCTGGTAGATTTGGTTCTGTCTGTCTGTTAGATCGTTGTGGCTACTTAGATTTTTTTTTTTCAAAATTATTTACTTTATTGGCCAAATGTTATAGTTAGGATAGGTATTTGTCTCATAAGAAAAGGAGATTACTATTGGGTAGTCTTTCTGAAGGTGGTAGAAAGAATTGTGGATAATGGTGTACAAACTTGTTACATTAAGCCATTATTTGCGTCACTAAAATTGTCCTAAGTTTTACCCATCGTGATTCTATTAAATCATAAAACCACACAGCTGGAACACTTGTTCTTTGTATATATAGTGCACTCAGTTGTTGTTTTTTAATGGAAGAAGAAAGACATTAGTGTGCAGACTACACAAATTCATAAACTAGCCCGAGCACATTTCTTTTCAATTCTGGGATTCATTATACGTTGTGGGGATTGTTTGTCTTCTGTTTTGATAGTAGCTTTATCGTCAGACATGTTTTCTTTACCTCACTTTCAAGTTGGTTCATAATCCTCCAGTTTTGAACTATGCAGTAGAAAACTGGCTTATTGAGGGCAGGATCCCATTTCTAACTTAAATTTCATATTTTGAAATAGCATTTATTCATTGTTTATCATATACAAGGTGCAGTATTAGGTACTTTATTTAAATTAGTCTAATTATCACCACAGTCCTGAAGCTCAGAGATTTAAAAAGCTTGCCATTAAGTGGTTAGTCAAACCAAGCTTTAATCTTAACATTTTTCAAAGTGCCTGGTACTTTTTAGATGGTCAATAAATGCTTGTTGAATGAATGAATCTGTATTTAAAATAAGTAGCTGAAAATTGACTCCTTAAAAAGGATCTAGAGATAATTGTGTACCTGATGATATACATGATTTTTCTTAGCAACTTTCATCTTACCAGCTTTTGCAAAATATGTAGTAGTAGTTTGTTCCTGTTCTATGTTTATGTTGTGAGCAGCAATTTGTTCAAAATGTTTGTAGTTACATAGTAAAAAAATCTCATTAAAGATAAAAGGAAAAGCAAAGAATATTTTTTTGTGAAGAAAAAGGCCTTCACAATAGACTGGTTTATTAGTATTAAGCAATTCACCATTTATTGGTCACCTTACAGAATATTTGTGGTCTTCAGGTTTGAATGTGTAGAACCTACTTCATTCAGGAAATTTTCCATTTAGAATGACAAAAAACATTTGAAATTACTTTGTTTTGTTCAGGTTTCTGTATGTTTCTTCTTTGGTTTATAATTCAGTTTTTCTTACATGTTAATTTGAGTTAGTAAGATTTTGCTGAATACAAAATTAGCTTAGGAGGTGAAACCAAATATTTACTAAGAAAAACTCCAATATGTAACAAAACTAAGTATCCGTCCAGAATTTATATATACATATGTATATTATTTTGTGTGTGTTTATATTTTTTAAATACACACAGAGGACTATATTATATATAACATTTCTTCTACTTGATTTTTATATTTTATTTCTTAGGCACGTGTTTACACATTAATGTAAAACTTGACCTTATGCTTTTTAGTAGTTGTGCACTACTAGTCCCTTGTATGCATATTAAGTAATCTATTTAGCTTTTGTGTTTATCAGATAAACTCTTAGAGAAGAATTTGCTAGATCAAATTGACAGGTGCATTTATATTTTTTAATATAATTTTTTACTTTTAAATAATTGCAAACTTAGAGAGTAATTGAAAGTGCATTCTTCTTTCCCCTAAACCCATGGTTGGCAAACTGCGGCTCGCGAGCCACATACGACTCTTTGGCCCCTTGAGTGTGGCTCTTCCTAAGCCTTAGGAGTACCCTAATTAAGTTAATAACAATGTACCTACCTATATAGTTTAAGTTTAAAAAATTTGGCTCTCAAAAGAAATTTCAATCATTGCTCTGTTGACTAATGAATTTGCCGACCACTGCCCTAAAGCATTTGAGAGTAAGTTGCCAACCTGATGCCCATCACCCTTGTATATTCTAATTTGAATTTCCTAAAAAGACATTATCACAGTACAACCATCAAACTTGGAAATTAATACACTAATACATTACTATCATCCACAAATCATCTTTAGGTTTCTCTAATTGTCTCAAAAATGTCTTGATTTAGAATCATGGATCACTACATTCAGTTGTCATGTCTCTAGTCTTCTTCAGTCTAGAGTAGTTCTCAGTTTGTCTTCAACTTTCGTGATTTTGACACTTTTGAAGATTATAGGCCAGTTATGTTATAGCATGTACCTAACTTTGACTTGTTTCATGTGTCCACATGATTAGATTCAGGTTCTGCACATTGTCAGGAATATCAAAGTCATGATGCTGTGTTCTTATTGCATCTTGTCAGGGAGAACATGATTTTCATTTGTTCCATTACTGATGATGTTCATTTTTATCACTTTATTAAGGTAGTGTCTGAGAGAGTTTTCCATTGTTAGATTACTAATTTTCCCTTCATAATTAACTGGCATTTTGTGAAGAGGGATTTTGAAACCATGTAAATACAGTATTCCATTCATCATCAAACTTTCAGTTTGTTCATTTGCTTATTTATATCAGTACAGATTCATGGATTCTCAGTCAGTGGGTTACAATTTATTACTATTATTTACTTTCATCCTCAAATTGTCCCATATTTGAACATTGGGAAGCCCTTCAAGCTATCTTTGACCTTTTGACATGTCACCATCAATCTTTGTGTAATACTTAAAATACCTTCTAGCATAACAAGGTATTCCAAGCTAATCTTGTACTTTCCCTGCTCCAGTCCTGGAATCAGCTGTTTCTCCAAGGCACATTCCTTATATTGGAGAATGATATTTAGAAGGCAATATCTTAACTCCAGTTATGCTAATTGCTTTTGGGACCATCTCAGTAGAAGGAACTAGGAAGTATACAAATGTGTGTATACATATATACACTTTTACATCTATATTGTATGTGTTTGTATAAAATTATGATTTCACACAGAGATCTCCAATATCTGTTTGTCACAGGGTTTATTCTCACAGGGTTTTTTTCTTCCCCTTTCCATATTCATAATACCTTTCCCAACAGTGAGATACCTGGCTTTCATTATCATAAATATATTGTCTATTTGGTCATCCTCCTCCCTAACCAATCTTTGTTGTCCCCTGAACATAGAGGTGCCCTCCTCATGCCACTTGGGTATCAACATTCTATGTCAGGCCTCCCTCTCCCCTCCTCACTCCAGTATTGGATGACTTCTTCACCCTGTTCAGGCTCTGACATAACAACCATGCAGTGCTACTCCTCCACAGGAATGCTACCCCTCCAAGCTCTGCTTGGGCTCTGACACCTCATCAGGACCAGGTACATTTTGAAATTTGATGTATATTTTCAAATTGCCTTTGAGAAGTATTACAGTAATTAACAGTCCCATCTACAGTTCACCTTTTTCCTCATTAGGTTGCCTATCTATAATAATAAAAGCATAATATGCTAATTAGACCAGACAGCCAAACAACCTTCTGGACGAAGCCGTGGCTGCATGGGCCAAGCCCCTTGCACAAATTTCATGCATCGGGCTTCTAGTACTCCATGTTAAACATTTTAGGCATTGCAAACCTAATGGATGAAAAATATTGCATCATTTTGATTTGGATTGATTTCTTGTGTGAGATTGACCATTATGTTTTTCATTGAACTGTACCTTCTTAATTCTCAGTTTCTTTATATATAACTAGCGGTTTGTGCACTGGTGAGGTCCCTCAGCCTGGCCTGCAGAGATGGGGCCGAAACTGGCTCTCTGACATCCCCCGAGGGGTCCCAGATTGCGAGAGGGCGGTTCTAAGGTGACACACTCCAGAATCGGGCTCCCTCCTCTCTGGTTCTGACTGCGTCACCCAAGAACCGCTGCTGCCAAGTGACCCCAGCTCGGCAGCTGCTGCATTAAGCACCTGCCCCCTGGTGGTCAGTGTGCGTCATAGCTACTGACCAGTCAGCTGGTTGCTTAGACTTTTATATATATAGACTAGAGGCCCGTTGCACAAAAATTTGTGCACTCGGGAGGGTCCCTCAGCCTGGCCTGTGCCCTCTCGCAGTCTGGGACCCCTCGGGGAATGACCACCTGCTGGCTTAGGCCCGCTCCCCGGGGGGATTGGGCCTAAGCTGGCAGTCAGACATCCCTCTGGCAGCCCGGGAGCCCTCAGGGGATGTCCACTTGCCAGCGGGGAGCAGGCCTAGCTGCAGTCAGACATCCTTAGCGCTGCTGAGGAGGCGGGAGAGGCTCCCACCACCACCGCTGTGCTGGCAGCTGTCAGCCTGGCTTGTGGCTGAGCAGAGCTCTCCCTGTGGGAGCACACTGACCACCAGGGGGCAGCTCCTGCATTGAGCGTCTGCCCCCTGGTGGTCAGTGTGTGTCATAATGATCAGTGATTCCCAGTCGCTCTGCTGTTAGGATCAATTTGCATATTACCCTTTTATTATATAGGATTTTTGGGTAATAATTAGAGTCATATAAGGATTACATGGTTGTATTAGTCTGCTTGAGCTGCCATAACAAAATTCCATATTCTGAGTGGCTTAAACAACAGAAATGTATTTTGTCACTTTTCTAGAGCCTGCAAAGTCTAAGATCAAGATATTAGCCTATCCATTTCCTGCTCAGTGCTTTCATTCTGGCTTTCAGACTATGGCCTTCTCACTATGCCCTTACAAGGTGAAGACAGAGCAAGCTCTCTGGTGTTTTTGTGTTGTTGTTTTTTTCTATAATGCCACTAATAGTTTTCATCATGAGGACTCCACACTCATGACTTCATAGGATCCTTATTACCTCCAAAAGGCCTCATCTTCAAATACCATCAAATTAGGGGTTAGGGCTTCAACATAAGAATCTTGGGGTTTGGGGAACACAGACATTCAGTCCATAACAATAATACGTGTAAGTGCATATCATAGAGTTTGGCATAAAGTTGGTATTCAGTGAATATTAGAGCCCTTTCTCTTCTCCCCCCAATCTGTTTAGGGCTTTGGATTTTGGATGATGTTTGATATTTAATTTACTTAGAATTTGAACTATTTTTGACAAATATTTTATTTGTAATTTTAGGTATATACGCAATTAAGCTTGTTGAGTTTATGGGTTATTTGATAATTTATTTTCTAGTATTAAAATTTTAAAATTAAAAAATATTGTTAATTTTTTTCCAAAAGTACTTTTTAAGTTAGTGTGGTTATTTATATAAAATATTTTAATACATAGAACATAGCATACATTTGTTTAAGGATGTAAACAGATGGACAATAGGTATAAAAAACAGGGGAGTGAAAACCCCCCAAATCAAGATATTGGTGCTTGGGAGGGGATGGTGAGATGGTGACCAGGATATTATGCAGTAAAAACTGCTTAGAAAAATTATTTGATTAGCTCTTTCACTGATTCTATGGAATGAACAAGCAGTACTAGTAAGCAATCCTGATTTACATGACTCATTGAAAGATATGGACTGTGGAAACATTTAGGGCAGGGGTCCTCAAACTTTTTAAACAGGGGGCCAGTTCACTGTCCCTCAGACCGTTGGAGGGCCGGACTATAGTTTTAAAAAAAACTATGAACAAATTCCTATGCACACTGCACATATCTTATTTTGAAGTAAAAAAAACAAAACGGGAACAAATACAATATTTGTATTTGCATGTGGCCCGCGGGCTGTAGTTTGAGGACCCCTGATTTAGGGGAAAATGAAAGTTTTAAAAGTTATATTTTTCTTCTGAGGTACTAAAAATTCACCAAATAACATTACCTCCCCAGTTTTGTGTTCTGTTGTATGTGTAATGCTTGGTAGGAATGGTGTTGTCTTTGTTCTGGAACATGTTCCTTTTATCTCTATCATCCTTCAAGTTCCCTGGCAGTGATTAGCATATAATGAATTACTTATTCATTGAATATATATATTTGTTGAGTGCTTCCTGTAAATCTGGCACTGAGTTGTGCAGAGAGAGAATGCTACTAACTGACATTTTTCAATACTGTTTTAGATACACAGCTGCCTTATGGTTTTATATTTGGGACTCAGGAAAAGACCAAGGTTACAGTTAACTAGAGGCTGCACTTAGCCAAATTTGATTCCTTAGGTAGATATTTGTCTTTGGACTTCATGATATAAATATCAGTGGAGATGATGGATCAATAGTTTTCATACCAAGCTTGAGCCTTTCAGTATTTTGCAGGTGCTTATCTGGAATGTGGGTCTCCAAATCCTTTCCTCCCCACCTTCAATTAAACCAGAGTAGCTTTGCATTTGACTGTCTTTATCTGTTGGGCTTCTGATTAGGAGGTCCTTTGGTTTCCTTTCAATTGCTGCTGCTGGGGGAGTGGGGAGGGTGATTAATCAATTGATAAAGTGCAACAGCAGTTGAAAAGGGGGAATGATTTCTAGTTGTGTACAACCTGAGATAACAACATTTGAACAGAGTTTTCAAAATATAGAAATGTAGGAGAGGGGTTTCCAAAAGAAGGGCAAAGAAGTAGATGCTTGGAGGTGGAAAATCAGTGTGTAAATTTTGGCTATAAAATAGTGGTTGCAAAGCAGGTAGTTTGGGGCCTAACATGGAAGGCTTTAGCCAAATGACCAGTTTTGACTTTATCCTTAGGTAGGTGGGATGTGGATTTTTTTTGTTCGATATGTGTGTGTTTTCCTTCAGATAGGCAGTTTGGGGAAAGTCAACCCAGAAAAATTAATTTGAAGAGATAGAAAGAAAGAGATAGAGTCAAGGACGCTAATTAGCAATAGCTTAGGTGAAGAGTAAGGGCCTGAAATAGATTATTATTAGGAAAGAAGTGAGGAGAGTGATGGAAGAATAACAAGGGAGCTTTGGCAACTAGTTTGATAATGGAGTGTTGGTAGTAAGACAAAATCAAGTTTGTGATTTTGCACTTGGCATGTCTAATGTATGACAGATGGTGGAGTTCACATTGGATACCCTTGATTCAGTAGTATGGAGGATCAGAATGAGGAAAATGATGAGTATAGGACATGAGGACTTGGGAAAGATGAGAGTAATGGCTTTGGAGAATTTTTTAAGAGAGAATTCAAAATCATCGATTAACAAAGGTAACCAAAGTCAACATGACTTTGTAGTGGAATCATTCTGCCATATATATAGTATATATTTTAAAAAATTATTTATGAAATGTAATGTTTGAATTTCCTTTTGTTAAAATATAAGAACAATTGTAAATGGTTATGTAAGTTATTTTGAGCTTCTTTTCAGACTCCTGGCAACAAATAACTAAAAAAGGTCACTGGTAGTCTGGTGCCAACATCATTTATTACTTGCTTTAGGTTGCTGATTTGAAGTTGCTTATTGACATTTTTGGTCCTTGTTAGAGAAAATATAGTAGTGCAGTGATGCTATTGATTTCTGAGCCACTGAATATAGACATTATTCTATATGTATAGAATAATAGGGTATAGATATTTTTGTATCACGATAACCTACAAAAGTGACATTTAAAAAAAAGTTTTAACTTATTTTATACAGCTTAAACAGAAACACATGTAAGTTTATCTCTGACTAGATTTAGTGTGGCTCATCATATTCATGAGCATAATGATGCTATTTGCAAGTATTGCTGTTCTCTTTTACACTCATCTGTGATTGTGAGTGTACAATTTACAACTTTTTCGAACTTCATCTGTTTCATATTTTTCTTTATACATGCACATTTTTTTTATTTGAAGAAACTTTGTTGGAGATTAGTTTGTTTATATTCAGAGTAGCTTTGCTCTTATGGAATGAATGATAATTTGATGCTCCTGAAAACTGGAATATTGCATCCCTATTTTGTATAAATTGAATTTCCTTTTTACTTTTCTCCAAAATGGTAACCTTCATACTCAAGGTATTTTGGAATGTATGTTGGAGGGTGGGGAGAATAAGTAATCTTAAGGACAGAAAGAGAAAAATCTTTTCCCTCTTTAATGTCAAGGTGATACTTAGATAAAGTATATGGGATCTTTGATAGCTCAGATTTTTGAAATTTAAAGCTAGTCACAGATGTAATTCTCACTGACAAATGTGAACAAAGCCATATTTGGGGGCAAAGTCCTAAATAATTTAGAATTGCTAGAAACTTATGTATTAGGCATCTGTTACTGGTTATTTCTAACTCTGACTTCTTAAAATATGATAATTTTTTTACCAGTACACATCTGGAGGCCTGCACACTGAAGTCAACACAGATGTCGGTATTTAAACGATTAATCACAATCCTGGCAATGCATTTAGTGTTGAAGATAACATGTATGCTTTATAACTCATCCACATGTTGAAGGAAGGCATTAACTATGAATCTGGTATCCTCGTTTGATTTTATTGTTTTAACCTTTTAAAAAGGTATTTCTGGGTTTAAGGCTTTAAAATGAAGTGATTAAATCAAATTGCATGATTCTCAGTGTTATGTTATAATTAAAAATTAAAACACAATTCAGTCAGAGATATATTGCAAGAGATGTCAGCCAAATCCTAGAGATTACAATAGTCACAGCTTATTTATGTTACATGTTCACTTAGTGGAGTTTACATATATTATAACTTACATATACTGTAACATATATGCATATGGAGAATTTGTAAGTTTTGAAAATAATATTTAAGGCTCTTATACCCTGTCACTTAAACTTCTTACTTAATATAGTTTAATATATTCCTAGTTAATAAAGAAAATATTAAAAGTTTTAACCTAAAATAGATTATAGATTCTGGTTTGTCACTGTGAACACTAAGTTTCTTAATGGTACTTTTGTTAAATAATTTAAAATACTTAAGTTGTAGTTCAAACAGTTAATTATTGTTCTGAATTCTTCATCTGTGATGGATGGAAGGATAGAATGGCATGGGACTTCCGTGCATCTTACTCCTAGGATAAGACATTAAGGTTAAAAAGTATATTCAGATTTATGTGATGATTAATGAATTTAACTAGCTTTTCCATTTTTGTATACTCGAGTATCATAATTATGAAATACTGCATAATTATACCAAAGAAATATGCAACTATTGTCAAGTCTTTGTGTGTGTGTGTGTGCTCTACCTAAAATCTTGCTCATAATACTGTTTTCCCCTCTTTCATAAGGCATTTTCTTTTTTGGGGGGAGACTTTATCTTCTTTCTTTTCCTTTCTTGCCATTAAAGTAGCTTTAGGTGGTTGTTAAAGGAGGGAAGAGATGCTTTATCCTTATGCATTAAATGATCATCAGAATTCAACTCAATAAACTAAAAATTATACTGCTCTTGAAATTAAAAAAAAAGACTGTTCAAACTAGTATCTGTATTATGTTAAGAATTTTTACTTTTTCTAGCCTTTTTAGAATTAAGGATTGGGGCTCCTACAAAAAAGTTACAAAATACTTATGTTTCTGCCACTCTGAAGCAGTTGGGTACAAATTAAGTATTTTTTTTAATCTCTCAAAGTTAAAAGAATTAAAGCTAGCTTGAAGACACGTGAATGTATCAACTAATAACAGTATTGAAATTAATATTTTTAATCAAGTCATAATTAGATTAAAAGTTCCTGGGGGGTAGGGGGGCTGTGTCTTTATTGTTCTGGAAAGGGTAGGTTTACAAGGTTAGAAGAGATATGTGAAAAAAATATTCTTATTATTTTATATTTCTAACTTGAATCTTTTGACACATTACCATTTCCTTTTTAGAGACCAGTGTAGATGGAAACCATGTAGTGAACAATTTAGGAAGCTGGTTAGTTAGAAGTTGTTCAGGCTGATGTGAGGTTTGGTGTCTTACAACCTTGACACAATTCATTTGTGACTTGAGTTATATCACCCCCTTTACTCAAGAACATATTATCCAGTATTAATGAATTCAGATTATTTTGTGGAACATTAAACTTCATTAGGTAGCTTTATAAAGACTCCTTAAAATATCAGTAAAACAAATATTTAATTTGACAATTTCTATTTCTAGACTTATCCCAAATATATTTAGAG